AAAACCATCTTAGTTCTAATCTGGTTAATAGAGAAAAGTTGACTATGGTTGTATCAAATGTTGTTCAAGATGATGAATTTCAATCAGAGGAAAAAGGACTAGACATCATGGAACTTAAAGGTTCAGTGCTATGTTTATATTTTCAGAGGATATGCTCTCTTGTTTTGCTTGGGGTAAGGTTTATGTTACACCCCCCCCCCCCTATTATGATTAATAAATTTCCTCCCTCTTTATATAAAAAAAAACAAAAAAAAAAGTGTTTAAAAGTTGGAAACAAAGAGTTCATCAAAACCATTATCACTGTACTTGGCCCAAGGTAAAAATAAAATACTTAACAAGAACTGTAAATAGTGACACTATCATGCATGCCTATATCTATATTAGGACAGAAGCATACATCAGAGAAGAAATTGCATGTATTCTATACTAAACTAAGTTGGTAGTCATTTTCATCTTGATCGAGTGTTTCCACTAATTAAAAGTTCACATAATTTGTAGGAGTAATGAAGAACAAAAATTTCATGGAATTCGATACAAGAATGTGCCGTAATATGTGTGTGTGTGAGAGAGAGAGAGATGGAAATAAACTTAGACACCCCATGTGGTAATTATAAATTTAGATGGAAATTAGTAAGTAGGACCGTTGCCTCTTTTGGGTGAAGAAAAAAAAAAACAAAACTATTCTGAAACTACTTCTAACTAAATAGCTTAATAAGAATAGCTAATTAAACAATTCCATTCTTCTCCTAGGTGGAAATATGTATAGTTTGGGTTCTGCAAGTATATAGTCATTTTCATATATGTAGAAATACTAATTGAATGGGTGCTAATATAATTTAACTTTTGCCCAATTAATAATTACCTTTCCTCTACAAACAACAATAGCTTTGTTCTTTTTTTTTAATTTTTTTTCCTTTTAATCTTTAATTTCTTTTTGCTCTTTTTGAAGACAACAAAGGAAAGGATGGTGTGGTTGTGAGTTGTGACGGTTATGCTGTATTTATGGAATTAGGTATTGCATTAAAGACCACAGTTTGGCATCTTTTGAAAGTCCAAGAAACACTTTATGCTGCATGTGGTCCCTTTACATTGAATTATTGGATTGCATTATGAACCCCATACAATTGGGTTGGTTTCTTTTCATTCTCAAGTTTGAAATGAAGTAACAGTCTCTGAACCGAATGCCCTTCATTTTCTATCAAACCAAACACAACCTAGTTATTGAATTTTATAATGTTGAATCTTGGAAAGTGATGAATGGTCCAGCCAGATTCAAAATGTATGGGTGAAACCAACACTATTCCAAAAGAACTCACATTATTTAATGAATTATTTTACCACTCAACCAAGCAGAGAATTGGCTTCCATCAACCACTGACAAGATAAGAGAACCTTAGTTTACAGAAAAATGAAAAGATCATTATTCAAATATGAATCCTTATGTGGGTCAAAAGAGCACTATGAAGAAATAAAAAAAAAGGGTTTGTTTTTGTTAGGACGATTTCTTAAAATCTGATTCCAATATTTTAATTCAAGAAAGAATAAAGGAAAGTAAGATCAGAAACATTCTCTTAGGTTGCATTTGGTACCATTGTTGTTTCTTCCAGCAACGTTTTGAATTGATCAATACAAATTGGTGAGAAACATGTGTTGTGACATATGCTTTTTTGAAGATAAAAGAAAAACTTTAAATGAATGAAAAGAGGAGTGAAGATATAATAATAAAAAGAGCTCCACGAAACCATAAAAGCTTTCTAGGCCCAAGAGCATGTACTCCATGTACAAAAGGAACCTAGGAGAACTGCATATGCATATTTGGGACTGATTACTTCAGCTACATGAAACTGTTGTCACATTACATATGAGAGTCATTTCAACTAGAAAAATGCATGTGTATGATTTGATCATTGACGACTCTAGTTGAAATTTCAATTTTAACATTAAATATATCTTTCACAAATTTGTATTGATCAACTCAAAAAACGTTTCATGTACAAATAGCGATGATACCAAACATAACCTTAATCATAATCATATGACAGAATGCCCAGTTCTAGACAAATAAGCTGATGGATGTAGCTAGGCCGGGATTAGTGGAGCAAACGAATGCATTATTATAATTTATTCATATGGCTGTTTCACATTTTTTTCTTATCTTTCTTCCCTATATTTTTCTTATAACCATTACTAAATCTTCCATAGATTTTAATTATTCAAAAGAGAAAATCAGTTTTGAACAGTTAATAAACCCATGATGTAACCATGGTCCAAATTAGTTCAAACATGGGTTCAGTACACATTGAATTAATCTAGAGTCGAGTCATCCCCTTCCCCGCTAAGCTACTTGATTCCAATTTTTGAACATGGGTTCTGCTCATCTGCCCAACTTGGTGCAGTTGGATCGACACAATATACAGAAAACAAAGCTTCCAATGTTTGAACATGGTCCCTGCCCATCTGCCCAACTTAATTCAGTTGGCATGACCCAATATACAGAAATAAACAAGGCCCTTCAATATTGTTTTTTTTTTTTCTTTTACTTAATGATAATCAGATTTAACAAGTTTCTTCCTTGTCTTTCCATTAACAAGACCCTTCGGTGATGTTTAGTTTCTTCCTTTTGTATTCCTTGCATGAATTATCCATATTAAACAAGTTTAGTGAACTATCTGTTGACTGATAAGGCCTCCTAACCATTTTCAATGTGGAATTATAGCAAGGAATTAGTACTTGGTACCACCTATGTGGTCCTCACTCATCACTAGAGTACTCTAAATACTGGAAGATCAATCTCCCTGAAAGAGTTCTCACCTCTGTAAGCATTAATTATTGAATACTAGATGGAGACTTCTTTGTGTCTGAAGACATTAGCTGAAGTTGCATTGAAGATTCAATTCTTTGTGTCTTCATTGCCTCTGATCTTGATCTCCCAAGAGAGAATCAAATGTAACATGAAAACTTTGTTTTTCCTTTTTTTTTGGAATATTGGGTTTTGATTAATGTTTCACATGTATACATAGAGAGATGATGGTGATGATGATGACTAGCACTAGCACTCACAGGACCACCATAGATGATGAAATTGATTAGTCCAACCCATAAGATAGCATAGCATTCTAGTTCATTGATCCTGTTGGACTTGTGGTCCAGGTTTTGAGTTGAATGGGCCTAAGCACCAAACTGTAGACATCTATGATGCATTGGACCATTTTTCATGGATTCAACTAATCTTCACTTAGCATCAGATTAATTAGAAGGTTACGTTTCTGTTTTGATCATTGGGTGATCACTTCACTTGCCCATGATTCACACATTTCTATTACAGGAGGCAGTGGGGCCATAATCACAGCCTTCAATTTTGCTGAGGAGCATCATGTATTTTCTCACTGATCAATGACTTGTCATAGTCAACTTGGTGAGTATAAGAATACAATATTTCCTTATATTTACAGTATAAACCAAAGGGAGGTCCACGGACCCAATAATTGCTGAGGCGTTCATAGTCACAGAATCACTTCCTAGGGAGTTTAGGTAGTCCTAGGTTTTGATCATAATGAAACATAGCAACTTTCCGGGTCGGTCAAACCCATATACCATAAAACTAAGGTTGTCAGTGGGTCGGTTCGGTTCGGGTCCATGTGTACCTGAATCCTATCATATTCATTGGATCTTGTCAGGTTATGATCCATTTATGATACGGGCGGTTCTATACCCAGACTTGTCTTCAGTACTCGATTTCAAGGTCGATACACCTATTGGGTCCTCAAAAATCAGTTACAGGTTGGACCCAATTCCCAATTGGTCTTAAATCTATGGACCAGCTGAGTTGGACCCTGTTATACTGAAACCAAATCTCAGGGGCTGGGATGTGGACTATCCACGTAATTGGGTATTCTTTCCACCCTTACTAGAGCTGTTAATGGGTCGGATCAGTTCGGGTATGCTGGTATAAGAGCAAATAGAAACAGGTTCATCGGAATCCAATACGAAAGTCAAAGAAGGTTGGAATTCAAGAACACTAAAACAAGTATAAAAGTAGACGGGCTGGCTTGTCGGGTAGAGACTAGAGACTAGAGAGAGAGAGAGATAACCCACAGAAAAGACCACAAGTGAGACGATGTGGAATGGCAGAGTCAATAGTCTCATAATTAGGTATGGGAGAGTTGCTACCTTGCTAGGCGTACAACAAGCAAGTGGGGTTTGGACCCGGGTCTTTGTAGGATCCGAATCCAAAGAATGACTATCCTGAGGTTCTGGAATAGGAGGGTAAGTGCCCTTTCTCAGCTTCTCTTGTTACCCCAAATGAATCAGAACGTCACATGGGAGTCATCTTCAGCTGTGTCATAAACATAGTAGATACAAAGATCAATAATTTACCGACGTCGGATCTAGTCCCAACACAAGGTCCCAACAACCGGTCCCAATGGCTATAATATATCAGAGAGAGAGAGAGAGTACGTCACAGTCTAATGAATTTATCAAACAAATGAGAGATCAGAAATGAAATCTTGAAAAAAAATAATTTCAAAAAATCCAACAGAAAAAGAAAGGAGAAAAAGGAAAAGAAAAGGAGAGAGAGAGAGAGAGAGCTCCAGTTTTGTTTTTCTCTCAACTCTGCTCTTGGAATTAAGTATTAAGTTGGGTGCAACTTAATCCGGATGTCTTATTCAACCCATTAATAAATCGCTTTCCAGAAGTCCCTTTCCTTTCTCTCTCTTCCATTGCGCTCCTCCATCACACACACAAACATACACACGAAAATGGATGGTTATAGAGTCTGTTGAGTGAATCTGAAGTCCCTAGCTCCATAGCTTTCTTTCTGCTCATTCATCATTAAAAACCATTAGAAAAACAACACAAAGAGAGGGAGAGAAAGGAGAGAAGAGGGTAAGTGGTTGTATTAATGATGATGAGTGGTGGAGAGTTGATTTCAAGCCTATAAATATCCATCTGTTAAAACAACCACCTTCCATTTTCTGCATCTCTCCTGTGCAGAGCTGTAGTCACTGGTGAAGAAAGGAGGAGGAGATTTTCCAGAGAAGAAGGCTTTGTTTCTGTCCTTTGTTATATCTTCTCCCTTCCGTTTCCTCCACAGGGTCAGTAAGCAAAAACATGAAACATTATCTGCAGATAACATGTCTATATTCTGTTGCCTCTTTCGGGTCCATCAAGTTTTCAGCTTCAATCCCAATTCAGGCCTATATGAGTCTTTTATTCTAACAGAATCATCAATATCTTGTTTTGTGCTTTCTGGGTTTTGCTTGTTTCAGCTTCACCACGGATTTTCCAAATCAAGCAACGGAAGACTCTCCCAGAAAAAAAATGGGAAGAGGAAAAATAGAGATCAAACGAATCGAAAACACCACAAACAGGCAGGTCACCTTCTGTAAGCGTCGCAATGGCTTGCTCAAGAAGGCCTACGAACTCTCTGTCCTCTGCGACGCCGAGGTTGCTCTCATCGTCTTCTCCAGCCGCGGCCGCCTCTATGAATATGCTAACAATAGGTACTACAGTACTCTTCTTCTTCTTCTTCTTCTTCTTCTTCTTCTTCTTTCTTCTTAGAGCCTTTCTTTCACTACTGTATGTTCTCTCTCTTTTTTTTTTCTTCTTTACTTAGCTCTGTTGATGAATTTTGAGCCTTTTCTCTTTTTTTGATTTTCTGGGTTTTTGCCTTATAGGTTAAGGATCAATTTAGTCAGACTTGTACATGCTTCTGTGCTTTGATTGAGCTTGTGTTAGATTTTGTGAAGGGATTTAATAGTAAGAGCTTAATCATTTTATGATGTTAGAGATCTTAGTTCTCTCTAACAAAGATTCACTCGTCTTTTTTTTCTTCCCTTTTCCTTTTGTTTTTTTTTTCCTGTATTAGCTTTTCTTTTTTATGCTTCTTTTCTTGTTCTTTGCTGGATTGGTAGATAGATCCGTTGTAATTAGATAGAAATAGAAGTGTTGTAGACTTATACTTTTGTGGTAGCAGCAGAAACAAAGTAGGGTTGGGAAGGTGTATGTAGGCTAGGAAATCAGCCTCCTTCCACCATTTCCATTGTTTTCTTTTTTTCTTTTATCTTTTGCTATTTCCTCTCTTTTCTTCATTTATTCCTCCTGTTCTCTCTCTCATCATCTCTATCCCCTCTCATCTCTCTCTCTCTCAGACTAAAGAAAGCCTGCTGCAAGCCTGCATCAAAGCTGTCAAGCTCTCATTAGCCCATTTCCTCCTCGCTCTTGACTCTTCCTTAATAACATGTCAGTTTAATAAATTTCATTAAAAAAAGCTTCAACATTTCTCATATATCAGATGGGTTTCTCTCAAATCACAGCAGGATTCCAAACCCAAGTGGGTTCTCTCAACAGACGTTCACAAGTGTTCTCCAGCCAATCAAAACACAGATAGGGTTTCTTCTGCTTCTCTTTCTGAACTTTCATCATTTCAAAGACCATTTTACCCTCGTGGATGAATATCATTGGGTTGATCAGTCTGGTTAGGTTTGAAGACACAGAGATTAGGTTTGCCGATGTTGTGTTGTCTTCTTGTTGAGTCTTATTTACGAATCTTTGGTCACGTCACACGCGATTTTTTGTGTTCTTGAGTTCTGACAGGAGAGTGGCATCATGATTTCTATACTGGGGTTTCCTCCATTGTTTCCTCAACTCAAATTTCACTTCCAGATTGAAACTTTTTTCTGGGTTTCTCCTTTTACCCCATCTCACTTTCTTGACAAAGCATCTGCAACAGCTGAAGCTAAACGATGCATCGCAGACAGCTCTGCGCACACCCAGAGAGATCTCAGGCTCTCAGCGCTGAGAGAGGGAGATGAACACATGACGGATGCATGAAATGGGTAATCATAAATATCACTAATCCGTCACCCCACAGTAGACATCAGAAGGGAGGTTGCACTTAGCGGAGAACTATTGTGGATTAGACATGCTTCAACAGATATTCATTGAAATATCAGAAGAGAGAGAGAGAGAGAGAGAGAGTTGTGGTGAAGGGATGAGAAGAGAGAAGGGTACGACCCAATGAGAGGTCTGTACTTGGGTCTCTCTGCATGCAAGATGCATGGGGAGCGTGCAATATTGGCTGCTATACGGATCACTTCTATACGATGCAGCCAGAAACACAGTCTTACAGAGTACGACGGACACAGACCCAAGAGTTATTTTAATTAAATCAGCTAGGAAAACAACAGAGCCTCTGCAACTAAAACCTGGAAACCCTAAAAAGTTCTTTAGCCAATGGCGATTTCGGGATTCTGTAAACTTCTCAAACTGGGTAGAAGTAATACACAGTGGTCTCATGGAGTTGCACTGGATGTATTTAGGTGCCCCATCACGTGGCACGAATCTGGAAGTATAGATCCTTCATCCAATCATGGTGTCGGATTTCCTGCCAGCGTGGCAGAGACAGCCAATCGTGTTCGAGGAAATTAAGGTAACAAAATGTTACGAGAAATGCTGTCTTGTCATCTTATTGTTCTACTTATTAATAATATCAGATCCTGTCCCATAAATCGTCACATTGAAAACTGTCTCTCAGAGCTCTGAATTCTGAAGCTCAGAACTTCTTTTATTTTTCTTTTCGATATATTTTTTGGGTTCTTTCCTCTTTTCTTTATTATTATATTAATTAATGTTGTAGAGGCTAATCTTAGGCTATCTAGGTTTTATATATTTAGAGGTTCAATATTCAAATGGGTAAAATCTGGAGACTTTGGAAGATTGAATAAGGATATTACCACATTTGATCTTGGGCAAACATAAATAGTCCTGACCGTCTGTTCAAAGTAACATGATTTTTTTTTTCATTTTTTATGGGTAATCTGTACTTTACTAATTTAATGTACAGGAAAAAAGAGCCTTACGATGGTTGCAGAGATTGACTAGAACTCTTCAACATGTGAACCCACTTAATAATTTTCCATTTTTATCCTTTTCTTTTGGGAAATTCCTATATTTTGTAAAGTCTGAATTTTGGTGCCCTAAGGTATTCAGCATTCAGTTAGTTTATCATAATTTGTTTGTTTTCCTAATATTAATCTCTTAGGCTATGTTTGGTTTGAAGGAAAAGTAGGGAAATGTAAGGAAACCTTTACAGATCTTGTATAGGTTTTCCTTCCTTTCCCTACTTTTTCCTTTAAGCCAAACACAGCTTTATAGAACGTTTTTCCATGTTGACGAGGACAATTGATATGCATACATTACACATATACATACATAATATAACATAACAAGGATAATAGATTATTAATTAGTACAGAGTTAATAAAGGATATCTCCGTTAGATCTTTAGAATAACCAAAGTGATCATGGGTCATTTTTGAGGTGTAGATAATATAGGTAGCTAGTAATACTTGTAGTTATACTACAGATCTTGGTGTATCATACCAACCCCTACACATGTACAATTAAACCAACATAAGTACAACATATTCTTTTCTTTACAAATTTAAAAAATAAAAATAAAAAAATCATATTCTTTTCTTTCTTTTTGATATAAATAGTGAACGTCTAAGATCTCTTGACTAGCAAAACAAATGTCAGTAGATACCAATTCAAAGAGTCTGATGACTTGTCCAAATTGTAGCTTAGGAACAACTGCGATTGGAGTGTGTAAGGACTCTAATAACTTGCAGAAGAGTTATGGGCCGTGAATCCTATTTATATAATCTCCTTTTGTGGGAATGTTGGGCCACATAATTGACCCCAACGTCTTTTATGTTAGTCCTTGACTCTATCCAAGCCAAGCTAACCTCTACTAGCTTGGCAAGAGTCTCCAATTAAACCTTTTTCTCCATATGACTGAGTCAAAACACGTACACATAAAATAAAAACAATTTTATTTTAAGCAAAAGTAATGGAAAAATCATTTCTATGAGATATGTGTGTGTACATAGAGAAATCAATCCAATGGTGGAGGTTATACATTGGCCAAAAGACTTGTACATCCAACCACAGATCACAAGGGCCTATAGCCACTCATTCCTTCATATCCCACATTCCCACTTAGCCATCAAGGACCAAGATGATCAAGGTGCCAACAGCCCCATTGGGAAGAGTGCAAGTACAAAACCTTGTATTTGCACCGTACATATTTGCATTTGTACTCTTTCCAAACTGAGCCTTCACTCCAGTGGGCTTCATCAGTGGGTCGACAACCATATCCTTTATGGGCACATTCTCTACTACGATCTCTTTCCATCGGCAGATATCTAACAAATATCTGTATTGCAATTCAATATGCTTCCCTTTGAGTTCTATTTCACCATTCTTGATGGTCTGAATTGTTGTTTGATTATCATTGAATATTATGACTGGTCCTTGTGATGCACCATCTATTCTTAGGCTTTCTATGAACTTCTTGATCCAAATTGCTTTAGTTGTTGTAGTGTTACAAGCAATGTATTTGGCTTCCATTTTGTATTTTTCCACGCAGCCTTGTTTCTTAGTACCCCAAGAGATTGCTCTTCCTCTTAATAAGAATATAGATCCAGTAGTAGGCTACCCCATGCAAGGAAAGGTCTCGAATCCTTGTACTCATGCTAGACAGCCTTCCTTTCTCATATTCGAATCTCAACTAGTCTATTTTTAGACTGATCTACAAAATAACAAGTAAAAATGCTAAAACATCAATAGACCTCATTTTTCTCTCTACTTCTCACCAGACAAAGCTTTAAAACATGGATATAGTTAGAGTTTCTACGAACAGGAAATCAAAAAATCCTAGTCCAAACGCTATGAGAAACAATAAAAAATAGAGTAAGGAGGACAAAATCACTTAATTTCTTCTCTATTGAAGTCATTCTCTTAGTTTAATGGAGAAGGCGATCAAATTTGGAGGATGGAGGTCAGAGCCAGTTGTTGATTTGCTCTCCTTCCCTCTCTCTTTTCTTATTCTTTTGTTATGAGCATTGGTTCAATGTAGAATGCAACAACATAAACTGTACCTATTCTGAGACCATTGAAAATCCATGAAGATCCGGGCTGTTTAACTTGCAAGATGGTTAGTAGGTGCTAATCCAATGAATGTGAAAATCTCCTATATCCTATTCAGATAACTTGTCAACAAGGGTAGGGTCTTTCACATTCATTGGATTAGCATCTACTAACCATCTTGCAGGTTGAACAGCTCGGATCTTCATGGATTTTCAAATAATCCCACATACTTTTCATAGAGTGGCTGTATTGGTAGTCCGTTTTGAATGGAAAATTTGACTAAAGTAGTAATAGTAAAATATGGTGATGATAACATTAATTTTCTTATATTGTTTCCCAGAATTTTCCCTTGCAACCAATTATTTAAATCCCCAAAATTTGTATGTATTCTTCTCTGTTGATAATAAAACTTAGGAGTTGTTTGTCAATATACATGATTTTGTTTTTTACAACAAAGACAACTTCACATGCTTTCTTCATGAATAGGTCACCAAAATGTTCCTGCTTGACTACCTGTTTTCTACATTTAATAAGACCAACATATTGCAAGATAGAAACTTCCGGTAGAATA